CACAGTTGGCAGCGCCCTGGGTTGGAACGGAAGACCCAGCACCAAACCCATGTCAGGTTTATAGGACTTAGGGCTGAGGCTTGAAAAGGTACCCAAAACCCTATAACGTCCCAAATCCTATGGGTCCAGGCCCCGAGGCCCGGAGGCTGCACCAGAGGTTTATGAAGTTTTGAAGCTGAAAGAAAACCTTTAGGCTGTTCTTGAACAGGGTGTGAGGATGTGCACATGAGGCTCTGGAGGTTCTGAGGACATAAGTCTCTTAAGGTTCTGCGGGCGGTGGTTTGGGGCCGTTGCCAAGGCTGTAGCAGCCTTTCGGTGTGCTGTCTTGAGGGATCAGGTTTGGTGATGCCCCTGGCCCTAAACCCCACGTCTCCGCGAGGATCCGCTGCAGGAAGTGGGAAGCAATGTTTCGCGAGCGCTGGCCTGCCTTCTCTGAAAGCATGAGGCGCGCGGGCTGAGGGTTTTGGGCTTAGGGCTTTAGGGTTTAAGATAAGAGTATTTAAGAGGCTTAGGGTTTAGGGTTTAAGGGGCTTAGGGGTCAGGGAGCTTTAGGGTTTTTGTTTGGGGGGAGCCAGGGAGGGGGTGGGGTGTTGCGGTTTGGGTAGAGATGAGTACTACGAGGCTGTGTGAGCTGATTTGGCTTAGATAGAACTGCGTGGTACCTGAAATCTCATGTCCCGATTCCGCCAAGAACCCTAAACCCTAAACCCTAAACCTTAAACGCTTGCATGCACTGCGCCGGCTCAGGTACGAAGGGCGCGCTCAGGCTCTCATCGACTCTGGGCATAACAACCCTTACGATTTAGGGCATGGGGTTTTGGGGATAGGCGTTTAGGGTTCAGTGTTTAGGATTTAGGGGTTTATAGGGTTTTTGGGATTGGGTTTTTGGGATTGGTAGTGTTTAGGTTTAGGGTTTAGTGTCTAGGGTGACCTAGTAGTAGAGTAGGTAACCTTGAACCTTTCTTGGGTAGTAGAATCCCCTTACAATCCCAAAGGTTAACTTTGATTCCCCCAGGTTACTGGACAACTAGGGTGAAGGGTCGGGTGGAGAAGTGGGACCCGTTGCCCGTTTTCGATGGGAAAGGGCACTCGTCGGAGCTTCAGGGAGCCTTGCCAGGGTGCTTTGCACAACTTCCACGCATTGCTCTGAGCTTGTCTGCCCACCGGTAAGCTTTCTAGAAGACCCCTAAACCCCTAAACCCCTGAGCCCCTAATCCCTAACCCCTAAGCCCCGAAACCCTAAACCCCTAAACCCTAAATGTTCAGGACTGGGAGCTCACCTACCAGCAGATGGTCGAAGGTAAGAAGGAAGAGGTGTGGCTGCGCTTTTACTGCTTGTGTCAACACCCCTAAACCCCAAACCCTAAACCCTAAACCCTATAAAGTTCTTCTCGCATGGGACGTCCGATGACATCTTGCATGAACCCTGTAAACCCCCTATAAACCCTAAACACTAAACCCGAACAAACCCTAAAGGCCAAACCCCCGCAAGTCAGAACCCGAAGGTTCTGGAGGTCTTCGACCGTGAGAAGAAGATCGGCTTCTCCATGTCCTGCATGATTGCCAAGGCAGCCCTTCACGGTCTCACCTATTTTTGGGGTTTACGAAAGTAGGGGACCCCGATAAGGATAAGGTACCCCTAATTTCGGAAACCCCATTTTGGGGACTGCGATGAATTCTTCTGCAGCTTAGTTTGAAAGCCTTAGCCGCCCTAGCCAACGCTCCAATCCGGAAATTAAAAAATGGACCAGCGGCTTGCTTAGTTTATCAAGGTGGCGTTCTCGAAGCTGTGTTTTGAATGATTAGGTTGCAGCCAGACTTTAGGCAGTTTCAGAGACATACACCCCCCGGGCAATGATCTGCTGTTCAGGTCTCATGGGAGCAGAAGCCTCTCGGATCTTGGGGGGGGGGGGGGGGGTGATCCGCTTTAAGGCTAAGCCCTAAACCTAAGTCCTCAGTCCTCATTTCGAAGCATTCGGCTTCCCTTTCACGGGCTCTGAGAAAGGAACAGTGCAGAATGGTAAAGCACCCGCCTACGCCGGACCTTTGCCCCTGCCATGTTAGGGTTAGGGATAAGCGTCCATTTGAGTTGACCGAGCTGACTCTGAAATTCTGGGGCTTTCTTTTGGTGTCCTTGTGTGCAGTCCTTGTTAGCCGGGTTGCTGGAGGTTTCTCTGCTTTTGAGCTGACCTTGGAAAACCACTGCCACGGTCTGGTAGGGCTCGGGGCCGGCAAGCTGATATTCCACACCCTCTAAACCCGAAACCTTAGGCAGGTGGCAAAAAACCCTAAACCTCAACCCTAAACCCTGGGTCTCAGTGTCCCGAAGCCCTGCTCCCCCAGTGCTGAGGACCCAATCCTATGTGGCCTGCTATGTCAGCGCAAGTCATGTGCTGCCTGAATCCAAGCTCGCACTGGGCAGCGGGCTGTGCGCCCTTGAAAACTGTTAACTCTTACCAGTGTTTGGGAGGTTCCTGGGCGTATTGCAGGGCTTTCACCCGCACGGAGGCTGCGCGATGTGATCGAGAAAAGGAGCACCCCGAAACCTTGAGCAGAAAACCCCTAAACCCTAAACCCAAAACTGACCTAGGTCTTTCCAGAGAAGGTCACCACAGATCACCCAAAGGAATGCAACCTTGACACCTTCATTGTACATCATCCTCTCCTGGTACGGAGCAGAAGCCCAGGTTCCCCAAACCTGAGGCATGTGAGGGTTTGGGGTTTAGGGTTTCTGGGCAAGACAGGGTTTAGGGCTTAGGGTTTTTGGGGCAAGAAAGGTTCAGGGTTTAGGTTTAGGGTTCATTAGGGTTTAGGGTTTAGGAAGCACTAGATCCTTATCAAAGAGCGGAGGCCTGGGAGCCTGGAAGTCCTAAGGAGCGCATTCCCTATGCCGAGTCGAACCGCTTCCGCTTCTGCCTCTCGGAGCCACCACCCCATGAACCCTGCAATGGGTAGTTAGGGTTTAGGGTGTAGGGTTTAGGGTTTAGGGTTTAATTAGGGTGTAGTATTTTTCGGGTTGTCTTGGAGACGACTTCTGCGGGTGCTGTCCGACCCAGGTGAAGGCGAAGCCTGTTGCAAAAGGGTTGAGGGTTTGGGGGGGGGGGCTTCGGGTTTAGAAACTTTAGGTAACCCTAAACCCTAAACCCTAAACCCTAAACCCTAAACCCTAAACCCTAAACCCTAAACCCTAAACCCTAAACCCTAAGACAGAACCCTCCCCTGAATCCCTTATACTCAACAGCCCCATGCCCAAGGCGCCTGGTTCGGCCCTTAACAAACAAAACCCCTCACGGGCCCTTAACAGGCCACAATTCCGGCGCCCTACAAACTGTCCCCTTAACACCCTCAAGACCCCCCAAGCCCGAAACCCTAAATATTAAAAAGTCCCCCTTAAACCCTTCACACCCCCAAACCCTAAAAAAAATGTCCCCTTAAACCCTATCCCCTGACCCCTAAACCCTAACCCCTAAACCCTAAACCCTAAAACCCTAAAACCCTAAACCCTAAAACCCGAAAACCCTAAACCCTAAACCCTGAACCCTGAACCCTGGACGCTGAACCCTGAACCCGAAACCCTACACCTCCCAGGCCCGATGTCTGCCGCTGTGCAGCTCCAGCCGGAGTTGGCTCCCCCGACCAGCGCGGAGACTTGCTTCCCTCATCATCGTTGGGGGTTCAGGGTTTAGGGTTTAGGGCTCAGGGTTTAGGGTATCCGAAAGTCGGGGTACCTTACTTGGAGGTTTCTTCCCTATGGAATTATGTAGGGTTCAGGGTGTAGGGTTTAGGTTTCAGGGTTTCGGAGTTTAGGGTTTTGGGTTTCTGAAAGTAGGGGTACCTTATTTGGGGTGCTTACTATAAGGGAATCCTACTATTTGGGGGGTGTATATTAGGGGTCCCGTATTTTCGTAAACCTCATTTCGGGGGGGGTTCGGGATGTGGGAGTGTGTGGGGGGGGGGGGGGGGGGGGGGGGGGTGCAGTTAGGGGCGGGGCTACAGACCGATTGATGGCGTTGCCAGTTCCACCTGCTTGTTCCAGCAACACTTTTCGAACACACCAAGGTTTGCAAGGCTCTCTAGACTCTATAGGGTCGTAGGGTATGGCAGCAAGAAAAGAAGTGCGCAAGGGACTCCGAGCCTGGCAAAGCTTATGTACCATGGGTCTGGCCCTCCCAAAATGCTCTGCCGGAAGTCGCTCTCAAGGGACCACGGTTTTGACCATGAAAGCCAGAACAGCATGGCAGGGTGCAGGGGGCATAAAGCGTGCAATCAGAGAAAGGGCTTCGGCTACGGGCTGGCAATTTCATTGATCATCTGTGGAAATATTCTGAACACTGCTCCATGTGTACACCTTGTCGGATTTGGGTTCAGGGTTAAAACCACAGGATGTTCTCGGGAGCACCTTCCACAACAAAAGCCCAGATTTACAACGCTATACTAGACTAGTGTTTGTGGCCGGCGTTGGTGAAAGCTTGGGATGTCCCCCCTGTTACTAACAGTCCTCAATCGGAATTATAGTACCTCCTCTGAAGGACTGTTAGCAGAGGGGGGGAACATCCCAAGTAAAAGCCCTAAGCGCCCTAACCCCTAGACTGCAGCTCCTCCCAGGAGATTTATCCGTTCCGGGTCCTCAAGGGCTTGGAGGGCATTCGCCCGGGTGTGGCGGTGGAGCTGCAGTGGAAGATGCACCCTGGAATGTGTGGTACTTGGAGGTTCATGGTACTTATTAACCAGTTATAACTGTACTTATAAATGTACTTACAACCATACCAGGGCACTTAAGGGGCTTATAAGTGGGTTATAAGTGCAGTTATAATTGGTTAATAAGTACCCTGAACCTCCAAGTAGGGTTCTTGGTCTTTGGGTTCATGTCAAGTTTTGGTGGGCGTATCAAGGGCTCCTTTGTGTGTTTTTTTCGGGATACTTCATCCGAGGTTTGGGGCTTTGCTTGTGTGGGTTCAGGATGACGGGGTTTCGGGTGTGGGTGGTGTCGAAGCCTAAGCATGAAGGCGATGAGAGTCTACGATGCCGCTGCGGCTTTCGAGTCCGACCAACGCTCAGGTAAATAGCCACGGGAATTTCCATTGGGACTTCCCATTCGTTCCATTGTCTTTCGCTTCTTCATCTTGAGGACGCTCTGTCTTTTCTAAGGGGCCTTTTTTGTGTGGTGGTTCTCCTAAGGAGTTTTCGAAGTTGGCGCTGCCCTGTGCGCACTGATCCACCACCCCCCTCCCAACCTCCGTGCCTCGTCACCCAGAGGTGCTTGCCTCACAGATTTGCTTCTGGACGGGGAGGGGGCACCCCACCCCCCCTTTTTTTGGGGGGGGAATATATTTCAACTCCTTCAACTCCGAACGCTGCCAAAGAGTACTGCGCTGACTTTGAGAGCATTCCTGTGTGAGTCTTTGCTCAACAAATAGCGTTAACGCCCTCCGGGGTCTGTGTGTGTGTGTGTGTGACCAGATATTCGTGTTTGCTTTTGCTTACTTCCTTGATTCCCTTATACGTATTTCTAGGGAAAAGCCCTCAAAAACCCTCAAAACCCTAAAAAACCCTAAGCCCGAAAACCCAGGAGGGAAAAGATAAAGCCTGCACCTAAAAAGGGTGGCGTTTAAACGGACTGGCGAGCTCTCCTACCCTAAACCCTGAACCCTAAACCCTAAACCCTAAACCCTCCTGGGCTTTGAAGGCAGATGGGAAGTCCTTTCGGCTGGTGGTATGGCGCCCATGGGCTGCACCGGTTTTAGTGTCCACGGGTACCGAGTCCTAACCCAGAGATCCATTTAGGGTTTAGGGTTTAGGGTTTAGGGTTTGCAGCAAGACTTTTGGAATTCGGTACCCAAGAGAAGCTATATTAAGTAGGCTGTTTGTGTACCTAATTTCCATAATGGAATGGAACGTCTGGGTAGAAGGTATAAGGTTGAGGTAAGAGGTTCAGACAGAATCCCAAGGTTACGCGATGGTCACCTTCCACGTGAGAAAATGAAGTCCCTAACCCCTATAAGCTCCCCCCCCCCCCCCCCTTCAAGCACGGGCTGCTGTACGAGCACAGCCCTCGACCCATTGCATTCCTATGTATGCAAGCATGCTTTGAAAATCCTAAACCCCTAAACCCCTAAACCCCTAAACCCCTAAACCCTCCCCAAGCCCCTAGCTTCTACATCCCCTTTCCTAAAAACCCCAAGCAAGTTCAACTGCAACTGCAACTCGCCAGCCAAGGTGGTCGAGCAGTTGGAGCGCAACTATGGGGAGGAGGACGCTGCAGCTGTGACTATCACCTTCCGCCACTTCCCGGCGAACTCGCGCTGGTACAGGTGCTTGGGCTCAGGGAGAGGGGGGTTTAGGGTTTAGGGTTTAGGGTTTCGGGTTTCGGGTTTAGGGCTTAGGGTTTAGGGTTTCGGGTTTCGGGTTTCGGGTTTCGGGTTTCGGGTTTAGGGGGGAGTTTGGGAAGTTCAAGGTGCCATGGCCTGAGAATGGCCAGCGCTTATGGAGTTTAAGGCTTTAGGGCTTTCGGCTTTTAATTCGGACTGGCTGAAACCCCAGGCCTGCATCCTAAGCCAAGACCCCAAGTACGTTTGAGAACTGACGTCTATGTACACAAACCTTAATTCCCCGGACCTCAGACTTTCAAGATCGCATGTGAAGCGTGGCGGATGCTGAACAACAGAAGCCGGAGATTCAAGCTTCCGGAAACCCTAAACCCTAAACCCCAATCTAGGCTGCGGGTCGTCGTGGGCGACGGCGTCGTTCGAAGATGCGCAATTGGCGGATACCACGGAGGTGGCGGGTTCAATGAGGTTTTTTTTCGGACCTGAAATGTGCTGATTCTTTTGAGAATGGGCCCGTGTCCTTGCAAGAGTCTCTTCAAATGTGCTGGCACCGCCCTCAGTGCATGCTTCAGAAAAGAACCCCCAGGGCTCAATGTGTGCCCTACTTCTACTTGGCTCGCAGGATTGACAGTGTGTCAGAGAGTGTGTGAGAGTGAGTGTGTGTGTGTGTGTGTCTGTTTGTCTGTGCGTCCGTTCGTATGTGCGTCGGTGCGTCCGTGCGTCCTTGTCTGCAAGGAGCTTGGCACTTGCCACACCCAAACGGAACACTGAAGACCCTGGCATCCGAAGCATCCTTAATCGTACAAGAATATAAGAACAGATTCATCGAATAGTTGAATAGCACAATAGCACAAGAGGGTACTAACCAATATAGCGCTGCTAAGCTGAGCTCCACTACTTGCACTGCCTGTTCAGGCATCCGCGCTGTGACCCCAGAGGAAGACAAGCAATGGAAGCTCTTCTTCCCCAGCGAGACGATCATGTTTTGAGCATCGCTTGCACACTCCACTACCAAGACTTCACTCGAGTAGCCCAAAGCCCCACCCTGAATTTGGCTGCTTCCTTGTGTGGAAGGAGCAGAGAACTATAGAGACATGATGACCATGACTGCCACACCCCCCCTCCGCCCCCCCCCCCCCCCGTTTTAGGGGGTTTTGCCTCGGTAGTGGGGAGTGTCGGGTGATCTCCATCCATAGCCGACCCTTTGCGCCTCCTCGTGAGCCTTGGAGCAAAGCTCCTGGGCAACACTCTGCTCATCCGCGGCCCCTTCTCCAGGATGATGTTTGCTGGAGCTGCAACTTGAAATTCGAAGGTATAAGACTTCAAGAACATAAAGGGTTTTTTGTTAAAGCAATAAGAACCCAAACGGTTGTTAAGCTCTCAGCCCGAAAGGTGGTTTGGTGGAGGACTCCCCAGGTAGAAAGGCATATCGGGGGTCACTAACTCTGACAGGTCTTAGGGTATTTAGGGTTGTTTAGGGTTCACAGCCGCCCCCCTCAGTCCACGCTTCAAACAGGGCTTAGGATTGACGTGGGGCAGGCCTAGACCCTATAACCCTAAACCCTCAACATTTGACCTTCCAGGAGCTTTTGGACTAGGTTCCGACCTCCCTGACTCCTCAACAGCCTGTGCAGCAGTGGAGGGATCTGAGGGATGTTTTAGGGTGCTTCTGAAGCCCTTAGTTACCCCTGACTCAAAGAAGCTCCTACTTCAAAAGACCCTTTACGGCCTAGAAGCCATCCGATGCTTCGAAGCAAACAAAAGCAGCAAAATCTCGGGGGGGTGGCGGTGGGGGCAGCCGGAGGGGAGCTTTGCACGGGCTGGGATCTGCTTCTCCCGCCGCATTGTCGCATTCTCCCACAAATGCAGGCCAGGTCGCTCTGGGACTCCCTGCAACTGGAGTGTAACTGGAGGTTCTAGGGGGTTTTTCTGGCTGTTTTGTGGCCATATAGGGCTATTAGTAATGGAGGCGCCAAGACGCGGTGAGAGACAGACGGAGAGAAGTACAGGAAAACGAGGGACCTAGTGACCTAGGCCAGGCGATCTCTTCTTAGCCCATCCCTGACCCTTTGAGTCAGGATCCAGGTGTTTTTGGGCACTTGGACCGGGGTGTTTCGTAGATCTCAAGATTGGGAGCCTCGAGGCACCAACTGTTGAGAAACTGCGAAACACGCCGCCTTTGTTCCTGGGAGACGCCGAGAAGCTCATCTGCTTTGCTGAAGCTGTCCCTGCATGTTGTGCACGGATCGGCACCACTTTGGATATTTACGTTGCAGACTTGGGTGCGGCATCCGTCTCAAGACTTGCCGGTCACTCACCGTCTACGCGCCATGAATGGCCCGGCTGTACATATTGAAGGGACTTGTATGATGACTTGTCTGACAGATGTACCTTTAAATTTGCGAGTTGTAAGCAGCATCTGTGCATTGGGCCTTACAGGTCTTATTTTCCCACGCGCAGGTGATTCCATCAGTGCCAACGTGTGCTGATCTGCCCACTGGGGGCGCGATGTGCGGCAAGTGCCTGAAGTCACAGCGATGCCGTCATCCCCAAGGTTTTCCTCTGGTTGACGAGCGCGCGTCACCACCACCGGGATGTTAAGAGGAGCGCGGGCGGAATGCCATACCACGCAAGCCTGCGATGGAGATGGTTGATTTTTCACAAAAGGGTCGGTTTCAGCGGAAGAGAAGCCCATCCTACTAGTATATCCTTATAAATTTGCTTATCGCCCACACGCTTGCCGACTGGCATTCGAGCCCGCAGCCCCCCCCCCTCTCACGCTGTGAAGAAGCGGGCGGGCACGAACAAACAGTGCCACGTGAGGCCCATCTGGGCTTTGGGTGTTAAAGAGTCCCCTTTAGGGAATAGGGTTTAGGGTTTAGGGTTTTAGGGTTTTAGGGTTAGGGTTTAAGGCCACAGTAGGTGTACACTCTGCGAAACCCTCAAAGCAGCCGCCTTGCTCGACGCCGGGGAAGGTGTTCAGTGGCTATCGTATCGTAGTTCAATTCAGTGTCTTTTGTCTTTTTTTTGTTGAGATCTCAGAAGCAAGAAGCAGTGGTGAAAACTTGGCCGTAATCGCAAAACAAGCAGCAACAAGAGTCCAAATCCAGCAACCAACATCGCATCGCCACCTGGTTGTCGTTTGAGCCAAAAAAACTTGAGCCAAAGTAAGTATTAGGTGTTAGGGTCGAGGGTTTAGAGTTTACGGTTTGAGTTGTACTGGTAGGGTTTAGTATTCTCGTAATTCCCCCCCCCACACACGAGCCAGGAACTGCCAAAAACAATGCCGCGCACAAACAGCAAACCCTGTAAAAACCGATGTCTTCAAAGCCTTCGCGACACGGCAGCCGCACAGAACACCGTAAACAAAAACGTGTTCGAGCAACCTCTGCCAAGCGTGTAGACACATGACAGTGTCGAAAGCATCGTCACGAGCGTCGGCTTTCAGAGTGGACACGCATGAAACACTGTACAACGATGCGTTCGAACACACACGCGAAACCTCGGAAAAGCACGATGTCTCAGTTAAGACACAATGAAAACACTGTAAGTACCGATGAATCATCAGACAGTGGATATCGAGTCGCTAGTCGACAACCCTTCCACGGCGACGAGCAAGGTGCCTGGCAAGAACAAGAAACCCCAGACCAAGCAATTCACAACAGCTTCGTGGACCGTGAAAGCTGCCCTTGAGCCTCAGTTCCTCAGTATTTCGGGTTTTGGGGTTTACATGGACACTTTCTCGTTTCCCAGCCTGAAGACCTCGCGCTCAGCTTCACAGCGCAATTTCGCGCAAGCCCATCTGGGATCGCAAGCAAACGCACCTCACGGCCACAGCCCTTGCGTGCACAGGACTCTTCGCAGTGCAAATACACGTCCCCAGTCCCTTAAGACCTAAACCCCTAAAGCCCCTAAAGCCCTAAAAACCCCGAAAGCCCTGACAACCCCCCCCCAACCCGAAACCCCTAGGGTCTTGGGGCTTCAAGGGCTACTTAGGGAACCTGAAGCCCTGCTGCAACCACCCTAGCAAGCTCTCTTAAACCTGCACAAGTCTTGCCAGATTCCAGTGGTAGCCCTGAGAAGGCCAAGGCCTTAAACCCTTAAACCCTTAAACCCTTAAACCCTTAAACCCTTAAACCCTTAAACCCTTAAACCCTTAAACCCTTAAACCCCAAACCCAAGAATAGAGCCAGAGGCATGCTGTTTAAAAAAAAGTGGCCCTCTGCAACATTCGAGGTAGCAGCAAGAGTTGCAGGTACCATGCCCCTTCGGCCTATAGAAGACTCGGCTTCTTTAGTACAGGGTTCAGGGTTTCGGGTTTAGAGGGTTCCTGGGTTTAGGGTTTAGAGGGTTCAGGGTTTAGTGTTTAGAGGGTTTCTGGGTTTAGGGTTTAGAGGGTTCAGGGTTTAGGGTTTAGAGGGTTTCTGGGTTTAGGGCTCTTGACTGTCAAGCGCAAGTGAGGCTGTCATGGCTTTAAGTGGGAAAAGCCGGGCGCCCCGAATGGAGGGCGCAGGGCCACAGGGACGCAGAAAAGTTGCACCGCCGAAGAAAGAAGCCCTCGATCTCCTGCGCCGCTTGATAGGGTAGGAAGAATTGCTAGTAGTATTCCCTTATGGTTCCTTTATCATTATATTACAATAAACCCCTAACGCCCCATTCCAATTATTAAGGCCCCTATAGTAGCTGAGCAGGCAACCTTTACCCCTTGTTGGGGCATATGCATAATCCAGGACCATAATTAACAGGTTAGCCTTCTTGGCCAAGGGAATCCCAGGTTGGTTTAGGGTTTAGGGTGTAGGGTCAGCAACTAGGATAGTGGTTTAGAGGAAAAGAAGTCTACGGCTGAAGGGCTCTTGAAAAAAGTGAGGCCTGGCGATCCCATCTCAGGCGGTTTAGGGCTTAATTGACTTTAGGCTTTATGGTTCTTTTGGGGGTTTACCTGCCCCCCCCCCCCCCCCCCCAACTACCCTTTAATAAAGGGGACGTATATACCCTACAATTATGGGTTAATGGTAGTTGGGGGGTGCTGGTAGGGTTTGGGGTTTAGGGAGGAGGGGATTGGGATGGGTTGTGTAAATTGTGGCTCCTCCAGCTCAAAGAAAACGCACCGAAGCCGCTATGGGTGGGGGGGGCGGGGGGAGGGGGTTGTACTTCACAACCCTAAACCCCAAGCCCCCGTGGAGTGCTCCCTTTTTATTGGCTAGTCAGGGTTTGCAGAGTATAGGTTTTGCTGTTGAGAATGTAGGGCTTTAGGGGGGTTTAGTTCTTTTTGACTATTTATAGGGTCTATGGGGGAGGGAAGGTAAGGGTTCACAGGGCTCTCATTCTTTTATTGGGTTTGCGGGCTCAAGCCGAACAAAGAAAGATATCTGCAAGGGCTTGGGGTTTAGGATTTAGGGTAAGGGTATCTGTAAGCCTGGTTTTCAGCCATCATTTGGGGGCTCACAGGGGCTGAAAGTTTTTGGGATTGAGTAGCGTTGAACATGTTCGGGTGTGTAGGGCTTATAGGCAAGCTAGATAAGCCCTGCTGTACTCGAGCGGTAGGGTGCGGCCGGCAGCCGACGACACCGAGTCTGCGAGAGAGAGAGAGAGGGGGCCTAGACCTTAATTAAACCCTAAACTTTGGGATGTTCCTCCTTATACGTACAGTCCCGAATAGGGAATACTATAATCCCTAGGGCTGTTAGTATCAGGGGAAACATCCCAAGCCTCAACCCTTTAAGCCCAAAAGCATGGCCACGTTGTTCGCGTGAAGGAGTCTGCGGTCCCGCCAAAGCAGCCCCTGAGGATACAGGTCGGATCCGGCACATGGGGGTAAGGTTTGCAAGGTTTAGGCCTTAGGGTCGAGGGTTTAGGATGCTTCAGGGAGGTTGGGACAGTGCCCTACGCGAGTGCAGGGTTCGGTATCGAGGAGATCAAGTGTGGCATAAGCTGCCACCAGAGTCTAGCGTGACTCGTGGGACAGCGTCAAGGCAGGTATAGGAGTTGTGGACCCACTGAAGAGGGGGTCTGAGACGAGGATCATAGTTCATCTTGATTCTGACACACGTCTGCAAGCCACACAAACTTCGCCTCTCTGGCCCAGAAGCCGTTGTCCAAACCTCCGTGATAGGGGAGTAGGAAAGTGGCCCATCTGTTTTCTTTGCTACGTTGGTATCCAGGCCCAGTCACTGTTTATGAGTCTAGAGATGCCCGGGCTCAAAAAATTTTGGAAGCTGGATTTCAGTCCCCCCTTGTCTACTAAAACCCCTGACCCCTGCAATTCGGCAGGGAGCTCCTTTAGGGATGGTCGGGTAGCACACGGAGACGCCGCAAGATGCTGCCCGATGACGACGGCGACACTTGGGAGGTATCCTCCGAGGCCTCCTCATCTTCCTCGTGGTTCAGCCTGCTTCACCACACCGTAAAGGATGCACTATCGGACCGAGAGACAGACCAAAATGAGACACCTGGGCTGGGTTCAGTAACCTCCTCTGGATATACCGACGTGTCCCCGGAGTCGTGCAACTCGGGCAAGACCATTCTTCTGCTGACTGCAATCCCTGCGTCCTCTTCGCCACGCATCGCGGATGCTCACGGGGCCGTGATTGCCGTTACTGCCATGCAGAGCACACGGACACTTGGTAGCCCAGTGGTACCCTTTACCCTTTTTTTGTTCTGGGTTCCCCTGTACAGCAACCAACCCAAAAAAAGGGTGCCCTTATTATAAGGTGGCTACTGGGCGACCAAGGATAAGCCAAAAGTCTCCAAGAGGCCACGCAAGCAAACCCGCGACAAGTACAAGCAGGTCGTGATCAACTTCCTGGAGGCAAATGAGGACCCGAGTCAGGGTTTAGGGTTTAGGGTTTAGGAGGGGTACTTGGAAATAAATCTTAAGCTTTGGGTTACTCTTATCCCTAAGGAACAGCTCCAATGATAGTTTTTGCTAGGGTGCCAAGTTCAGTGCAGAAGAGGGCATTACATGTATATGGGCTTCTGTACGGAATTAGGGGGTACCTTCTGGGGTGTCCTTACTATGAGGGGATCCTACGATTTGGAGGCCTACATTAAGGGTCCCCTATCTTCGTAAACCCCCATATAGGAATTATAAAGCCTGGTAGCCCACTTATCAAATAGCCAACTCTAAAATATGGTGCCTTTATTAAAACAGGGTTTCAGGGCTACCCTGAAAAGATGTCAACACCCCCAGGATCCCCCCGACGCGGCACCAAAACCCTAAACCCCAAACCACTGCCGCGTCAACGAACCCTTACACCCCCCCAAATTATCCCAAAACCCTGGACCCCTATACAGCCGCAGGACAACCTGTACCCGGTCCAAGATGAAATGCAGGAGCCGGGCGACACGGCGCCTTTGTGTTGGGGCAGTCCACTTTTGTCCATCATGGAATGCGGTTCTTTTAGGTGCAGAAAACTGACTTGTTTGGCTTGTTCTGTTGCGGAAAACCGAAGTACCAGTATCAGTTATGGGTGCATCAAACCAGCTTTATTTTTGGTTCGCAACAGCGGAAGGAAGGTGTTGGGTACTGGCTACCTAATTCCACATTGCTGCTATAAGTGGGCCCTCCTGCATTGTTTTCATGCGACTTTCTTTTTTGCAAGTTGCTTGATGCCAGGGTGCGTTGTTCTCCAGTTTGTACCTACTTCGCAGCATCCCGACTAGGACCAGCGGTGGCTTTATCACTTGCCTAAATGGGCCTAATCACTACAAAACAAACCTACACGCTTAGCAAGGATAGGCTGCTCCTTCCGTAGTTGCGCGTGTCTCTGGCTCTGTGTTCAACTGTCCTAAACCGCAAGCCTCTTTCGGAGGTAATCCATAGCATAATACTGCATATCAGTATATAATATGCACCACACATATAAGTATAAATAAATAAATAAAAAATATATATATATATATTATACATATATATGTATGTGTGTATACTGACTTTCTGTAGTGGCCTGGGTGGAAGTACTTTGAAGCACCTTGATGTAAGAATGTTCATGTTCCCGCGGGCAGAGGTCAGTTTTCCTTGACTGGTGCGCTTTTGCTGCTACAGATCGAGAGGCATCTCCAGTAAAGTCTCCAGTACAGCGTGTGTTAATCGGGAGGTCTTTGTAATTGATCTCCAAAAAAATCTTGCCGTGGTGCGGCGCGCATTCTGACGTACCAATATCAGCAAGGATGCCTAAACCCTAAACCCTAAACCCTAAACCCTAAACCCTAAACCCTAAACCCTAAACCCGTATTTTCATGTCCGTGGGATGCCCCGGGCTGTTTGGGGTCAACGTCAGCATAGTCCTTGTTTGGGTCGACATGTTGCAGACGGCCCTAGATCTACATGTCTGGCTGGTGGTAATTTGAGATCTCCTAGCTGTGCCAAACCCCAGACAAGAAACCCTCGTCAGTTCAGCCATGAGGGTGAGAAAAAACACCCCAAAGCCCCAAACCTTAAACCGAAATCCCTAAACCCTGAACCCCTGTGGCACCTAAACCCCATAACCCTAAACCCTGAACCCTGAACCCTGAAACCTAAACCCTAGCGTGAGAGTCGAAACCCACAGGAGCTGGCGGACAAGAGCCCCTACCTGCGAAACCTGCTCCAGGGTCTATTGGACTCTCCGGAAGAGGCCGAGCAATTATTCGGGGAGCCTTGCCTGCGTTTTGATGGGTTTAGGGTTTAGGGTTTAGGGTTGAGGGTAGGATTTAGGGTTGAGGGTTTAGGGAGGGAGGCTTTCTCAGGCTTGGAGGGTTGGGGTTTAATGTGTGTAGGGTTCTGGGGTTTATGTGGGTCGAACGTGCGGGTCCAGGGCCGCCCCAGGACGGGAGCCAACGAATGTACAAATGTATAAACACATATGTAAGTGCATAAGAATATATTATATAGATAGTAATAGTACGTTCATATATATACATATACATATATGGAAATACATACGTAACCGCCTAAACAAATTAAGAAATATGAAATATATATATATATATATATATATGTATAATATAAATGCATAAATAAACAAACAAATAAATAAATAAGTATATATATATATGTATGTATATTAGACAATATATATATATGTATGAATCAGCATACAGTGACATTAGCAGACCCGGCCTTTGCTGGCCTGGAGGGTTTTTCGAGCCTGGGCGGTCGGCCCTGTCTTGCTTCCCGTGAGCACCAACCAGGGTTTAGGGTTTAGGGGTTTAGTGTTTAGGGTTTAGGGCTTGGCGCGGGTTTGGCAAGGTTGAGGGGATATTGCTGAAGCCAACGTCCTTTGCGTGATTGACCGCTCTTCAGGAAAGCTAAGCAAGGGCGAAGGTGAGCATCAACTGCTGACCTGTTGGCTGCAAGCGCAAACTCAGCTCTGATGTGTGCAAGCCATGGGAAGGCAGATTGAAACTGCTGCCTCTCTCCCGCTGTGAGGTGGTTTTCTTCTTTCTTGCCTTGTGAAAAGGCCCTTGCCTTTGCCGGTTTTCGACCGCCCTGAGGGATTGGACAAGATGACTGCAGTTGGGCTAGGGTCTCCTGCCAGACAACGACGAAACCAATGGCGAGCTACATGTCTGAAGTTGAGGCGCAGGCTGAAAACCTGCCTTTTTCCCGTTCTGATGAGTTCAGTGCTTCTGCAGAAAGACGGTGGCGCTTTTGGAACGGAGGTTCGTGGCAGTGGGGAGTTTACAGGTGCAGACAAAGTGTGCGCCGTGATAAAGGAGTTCATGGAAACTTCGTGCTTAGGGGGTGCTCATTTCTTTCGCAAGTGGTGGGGCCAAGAGCCTAGCACTGTTGGCAGTGCACGCTTGCGGGATCTTTTTCCTATCCCACCGCTGCTCGAATGGCCAATGCAAATTGGCTCGCTGGCAATTCGCAAAGAGACTTGCCTCGACATGAGCAACATGTGCATTGGAGCTCTAAACTTCTTGAATACGGGCATGAAAGCCAGCACCGGGCCCATTGTGATGCGCAGGTCCCCTTCAGCTGCCCAGTTGGAGACGCAACACCATGTGTGCAGACGCGTGGTTCGGTTTCTGCATCGTGTCAACGCGAAGGCTGGATCGCATTTTGCTTGGCAAGATAGCTTCGACGAATGCGAAGCTAATGCACTGCCATCCTATGACAGCATTCGCAGTGAGGCAGTGGACTTACCACAAATGGCTGCCACTTGTGACCCGTGCAAGCTTATCCACGATGAGCTGGCGACTGCGGTTCAAGATCCAGCAAAGATTTTCCCATCAGGTGCCAGCCCCATGCCGGTGGAAAATGTCAAAGCTGATCAGCGCGATGAGTATGTTCGGCTTGTGGTGCGGGAGCTCAAATGTGGGAAGCTTCGTCTGGTATCGAAAGCCCATGGCCTCGGTGGAGTCTTTGGGGTCGCCAAGGCAAATGGACGCCAAAGAAAGATTTGGAATGGCTCTGCTCTGTCTGGTCTGGCAGCAGAGCCGCCCAGGCCTTACAGGCTTGCAAGCCCTTCTTCTTTCTTGGATGTCGAAATCCAGCCTGGCGAGCGTCTTTTTTTCTCTAAGCGAGATGCGTCTACCTTCTTTGATTCTCTCCGCGTGCCAGAGCAATTGCGAACCTGGTTTGGGCAGCCACCAGTGACGGTTGAAGAGCTCCTTGATGCTGGGCTAAGCTTTGAGCATATCCTGGACTATAAGGACGGTGAGGACAGCTTGGCTCTTAATTCTGTGCTTTTTCCTGTACACACCGTGTGGCCTATGGGTTTCTCCTGGTCATCCGCAGTTGCCCAGAACACCACCGTGGCCACATGCGTTGCTGCAGGAATAGATGAGGGTGCCATCATTTCGCCAGATTATCCTCTTCCGAGCTCTTATGATGAAGTTTGCTTTGTGGCCACCGATGACACAATCCTCATGCACAAGACCCTTGGCCAAGGCTCCGACACGTTGTCGAAGCTTGACAAGGCTTTCGACGAGCGCGGAATAATCAGGAACACGTCCAAGGACGTCACGCTGCAGGAAAGTGTCACTGCGCTTGGGTGTGATTTGTCAAATGATCCAGCGACAGCTGAACCAAGTTTGGACAAGATCTTGAGAACAGTCGCTCGTACACTGGATGTGCTGCACCGTGGAAAGGCAAGCCCAAGAGCCCTCCACAGTCTGTTGGGGGTATGGGAATGGTTTTCGCTGCTCCAGAGGACCTTTTTCAGCATTTTTGATGATGTTTATTCGTTCGTGCGCAGGGTTCCCGAACACTGCGTTGAGCAATTGCCTGACAACGTGATGAATGAACTACTCGTCACTCTTTTGTTGGCGCCGCTGCTAGCAGTAAGCCTGGATCGCGAGCCCTTGCACATGCTGGTTGCAACAGATGCTGCTCCAGAACATGGTTTTGGAATAAGCACGTGCAGTTGCGATGCCAAGACTGCTATGGAAGTCTGCCGCCTGGCCGAGCGTCGCGGCGACTATGTGCGGCTGGCCGCTGCTCCAGGTGACCCTACAGAGGTTGCCAGGCTCGGGAGCCCACATCGATTGCCACAGACGCAGCTTGATTTCAAAACAGTCATGTCAGCCAAAGCTAAGTGGACGGCGCACTCAGGTGTGTTGGAGGCCCATGCATACCTTTTGGCATTGAGGTGGTTGGCGCGGCAACCCAAGAAGCATCATCGCAAGATCCCTTTCCTGATTGACGCCAAAGCAGTGATTGGCGCAGCAGCCAAGGGTCGCAGCTCAGCAAGGGCTTTGCGTACAATTCTTCGTGCAGCGGCCTCCTTGTGTCTGGCAAGCGACCTGCTTCCGAGACTGGTGTACATTCCCAGCGAGTCAAATCCTGCAGACAAGCCTTCGCGAGGACTTCGAAACAGGCCTTCTCGTAGGCCGGTCCGAAAATCTGGAGGCAAGACGCGTGCGCGCCAGAGTTTGCTCCGGAGTCTGGACAGGCTTGTCGAGGCCGAAAATATCATCAAACGCTGGATGTAGCAGAAAGTTGTTTCACCTTCGAATTCGCAGTCCCTCTCCGTCATTGACACCTCCTCTTGGGTCACCGGGCATGTAGCGACCCGCTTGCTTCAGACCTGTGAAGCTGCGGGCGTCGCCGAGCTGCTGGAGAAGCTCGTTTGCTGTTTCCCTGGAGTGAGGTTCCCACGATCTTCTCCCTTCGTGATGTTTCTCGGAAGTTTGGGCGCCTGCTTTGGTTTTGACTGGAGCCTTGGTTGCCTTCTGGGGCAGGCTGGATGCTTTTGCTGGGTGCGGCCACATGGCTATAGCTGTGTCCAGTGCGGGAAGCCGGGTTTTTCTGCACTGATGGGCTGGAAAGCTTCACAGCAACTGCAGACGAGTGGACGCTCAGCATTCTCTAACCTGCCATGGCGGAGTTGGCAAAAGTCGAGTGTCAGGCGCAAGCTTCCTGCATGTTAAGTCCGAGCAAAACACATTTTGACTGCAATCGCTACGTCAGAGGCCCACCGGAGAGTGCAGCCACAGCAATGAGGGGATATTGCTGAAGCCAACGTCCTTTGCGTGATTGACCGCTCTTCAGGAAAGCTAAGCAAGGGCGAAGGTGAGCATCAACTGCTGACCTGTTGGCTGCAAGCGCAAACTCAGCTCTGATGTGTGCAAGCCATGGGAAGGCAGATTGAAACTGCCCCACCCTCCCACCCTCGGAACTCTTCGCTGGGGTTTTTCTGCACTGATGGGCTGGAAAGCTTCACAGCAACTGCAGACGAGTGGACGCTCAGCATTCTCCAACCTGCAATGGCGGAGTTGGCAAAAGTCGAGTGTCAGGCGCAAGCTTCCTGCATGTTAAGTCCGAGCAAAACACATTTTGACTGCAATCGCTACGTCAGAGGCCCACCGGAGAGTGCAGCCACAGCAATTAGGGTTTAGGGTTTAGGGCTTAGGGCTTGGGGCTTGGGGTTCAGGGTTTAGGGTTTATAGAGAGTGCTGTGCATTGAGAGCCGCAACTTCCATCCCCGGCCGACTGCCCAAGCCCGGATGCAAAGGGGGTTTGTAGGCTTTGGAGTTTGAGGCTCGAGGGTTGGGGCGATGTTGGTGGCGAGGCTGAGCTTGGTGGATAGGTTTTGGCGGACCGTGATTGCAGGGGGCGGTGCCAAGTTTGGCATGGACCTCGGTTGTCTGGGATGCAACAAGCTTTTAAGACATGCCGATCTAAACTGCGAGGGCCTGAAGCAGGTTGTTGAAACCACTTCTGACAGACCGGCTCCCTGAATCCGTCCTTTCAGTCTGATTCCACAGCACGACAAACCGCCCTGTCCCAAGTGACAGAATAGCACAACCCCCCCCCCCTCTCCCATGAGATGATGCTAGTTGGCATGGATGCCAGAGCTTGGTAGACTCTAGCGCAACCTGGGATTTTTTCTTTGATGACGTCCCCGCAATCGGAGATCTTCTCTAGAAGCGTAGCTAACCAAAACCTCCACGCGCTTCAACCACAACTGAGGGCTTCCCAACCTCTGCAACCCCTAACTACCCTGCAGGCACATCCTACTGTAGGTGAAGATAGCGCTGCGTTTCCCAACCTTGTCTTCACCATGCCGAAACCTTTGCAAAGGCAAAAGCGTTGCCGGTTCCAACTACGAACGCTGAAGGCCCCCGTGTCTTTGCGCAGTAGCAAAGCCCAACAAAATCGCACCCTCGACCGTCGGGTTGGGCACTGCAGGAACCCTCGCCGGGATTCTTGGATCCTGAACCCTAAGCCCTAAACCCTAAAGCTCCAGTTTGTTCCCAGACCAGTGTGGTCGATCGAGATCAGCGGAGCGGGTAGCAAGAAGAACTCAGATTCACCTGGGAGTTGAACTTGCCTGGAGGTTTAGGGTTTAGGGTTTGGGGTTTGGGGTTTGGGGTTTGGGGTTTAGGGTTTAGGGTACTTAGTAACCCAACTATGATTGTACTTATAACTGTACTTATAACCCTACTAGGACACTTAAGGGGCTTAAGAGTGGCTTGTACGTGCAGTTATAATTGGTTAGAAAGGTACCATGAACCTCCCAGTAGGGATCCCTAAAAGAGGGCCCCCAAAGAGTAGGATTCCCTGATACTAGGACCCGCATAAGGTACCCCAACCCTAAACCCTAAACCCTAAACCCTAAACCCTAAACCCTAAACCCTAAACCCTAAACCCTAAACCCTAACCCTAAACCCTAAGCCCTAAACCCTAAACCCTAAACTAAGTGAGGGGTCGCTTCCGTCGAGCGACAGACCCCGAACGCTCGGCCGAGGGCCGTACAGCCCGAGCCCAAGCGAAAAGAGCAACGGAAAGGTGAGGGTTAAGCCTCACCGTCTGTCCTGGACAGGCCAACGGACATCGGCCTATTTTACGACAACGTCAGTACTCGGCTAAGGGATGGCCGGCACCCAGACCACCTTTAGCGTAGCTAAAGTATAACCCCAAATCCTAACCCGGACCAAGGGCTCTTTTGGCCAAGGGCCCCCCGCGGCCAGGCCCCAGGGCCAAGGGGCCCCCGGGCCTGCCGGGCCAAGGGTCAAAGGCCTCTGCGGGCCCTGACGTGCCGAAGGCCCGAAAAGGGCCGAGGCTACCCCGAACCCCAGCTTAAACCCTAGCGATTGAAATACTCATTGGCGAAAAAACTAATAGGTTCCCTGACCTTCAAATGAATAAAGCCTCTACGGCCCCTGACACGCCGAAGGTCCGAACAGGGCCCCGAGAGACCCCAAGAGCCAGCAAAAGGCTTCAAAAGACTTCAAAAGGCCCCTCAAAAGAAGGGGGACCCCAGGATGCCCGTACCCGCAATGAAAAATGCGATTTTTTGCACTGAAATCGATGGTTTTGGGCACCCCTTCATTTTACCCCCGACAGGAAAGCCCCAGGAAGCCCCCAAAAGGCCCCAAGAGCCACCAAAAGGCTTGAGGCCCTTAAAAGGGGAATTCCAGGAGCAGGCACAAAGGGTTTCCCTGACCTTCAAATAAATAAGGGCCTCTACGGGCCCTGACACGCCGAAGGCCCGAAAAGGGCCGAGGCTACCCCCAACCCCAGCTTAAACCCTAACAGCGCAACTTTAAAAACATCAAAGCAAGCATCAGGGCACAAGAACATAAATTGTAAACGCTTGCGCGCGCCGCCTCGGCAGCCGGGCCGGCCCCGGGACAGGAAAGGAGGAAAGAGGGTTTCGCAAAGGTGGGGGGCCGGGGGGGGTGGGGGGGGGGGGGGGGGCGGGGTGGCGTCAGAGAATTTGGCATGGGGGAAGGGTTGGGTTAGGGGGAAGGAGGCCCGATCCGGGTCTGCTTGTTCCAGACGCTTCTCGGCAGGAAGCCGAGGCGAATTCCGTAAACCCTAAACCCTAATAGAGTATAGTTTGGGTGGCCGGGGTGGGTTGACGGGCAACGCGAGCGTGCGGCCCGGGGTGTTTCACACCCGAGCGCGCGCCCTCCCCTGACACACCCTAAACCCTAAACCCTAAACCCTAAACCCTAAACCCTAAACCCTAAACCCTAAACCCTAAACCCTAAACCCTAAACCCTTCACCTGGCTTGGCAGGTGCAACTCTCCGCACACCTGGACCACAACCTGCTGCATCAGAGCAAGCCGCTTGTTCTTTGCGGGGCTATGGCTGTATGGGGGCCTTCAGGGTGTAGGGTTTCCGTAGGGTTTAGGGTTTCTAGGGGGTTTTGAGGGTTCAGGGTTTCTAGAGGGGGTTTAGGGTTTAGGGTTTAGGGGTTTTGCACCACGGGCCACGGCGTGCTAGCCGTACGTGGCAGCTTTTTCTTCGGCCAGCCCGAATGGAGAGACAAAGGTTTAGGGTGTAGTTGTCAAGATGGGTTTCCTAACTCTTCTTAGGGGCTTTTGGTAAGGGACACAAAGCCCCTCAATAACAATGAATATTGTGGTCTTTTGGGCCAGGCTTCGAAGACTTGATAGGCTCACTTCCATCCAAAATCTACACGGGCTTGTCAGATTATTATCGCGCTAGGGCCTTCTCACTGTAGTTTATTCAGGCAAGTGCAACAAAGGCCTTCCCAAACTCCGAGGGGTGGCGGACATTGTAGGTCAGGCTTGGATATGGGTATTTGCAACAAGTAGGGGGGCGGGGGGATACCCTGAGTATACCCCTCAAATAGTGCAATCCTCATGATAGGAACCCCGCAGGGTACCCCTATTTTCGGAAGCCCCCATATTGAAGTAGGGTTTTATCTTCTTGTACCCTTACAAGGACACCCAAGATATACACTCACCAATATTCACAAGGAACCCTCAATACACTCACCAAGAACAGCAGTATAAAACCTGTTTCATATGGTTCAGTAAGAACTTTTATGGTTCCCTAAACCCTAAACCCCAAACCCTAAACCCTAAAGATATCAGCCGGGGGGTTCATGAGGGGCTTTGCTGCACAAGAGACCGGCGTCCAGCTTGGGAGTTCGTTGCCTCTGTGCGCCAAACCTTCGATTCAAGCACCGCACAAAGCCCTCAAACCCCTAAACCCTAAACCCTAAACCCTAAACCCTAAACCCGAAACCCAAGGTGGCGTCCTCCGTAAGCTCATCGCCACTAGCTCGTCCACCCGGACCCGAAGGTGCAGCAGCTTTCAGGCACTGAGAAGTGTGGGGTATGTGGGCTATTAGGGTTTTAGGGTTTAGGGTTTAGGGTTTTAGGGTTTAGGGTTTAGGGTTTTAGGGTTTAGGGTTTAGGGTTTAGGGTATGTGGGTTCGGGGTTTCTACTGCAGCCTTAGTATGGGCTTTACCTGAGTGTTGTTGGGATTCAGAATGTAAGAGAAAGCAATCGGGAGTCTTTTCATGCGGCGGAGGTGACCCCGCGTGACTCTGTGTTCGAGGTATGCTTGCCTCTAGGGCGAAAGCCTTATTCGAGCCCGGTTTAGGGTTTCCCTTCAGAATCCTAGGGGTTGGGGCTTGGAGCTCGGGAAGAGGGTCCGACACGACCCCCAAAAGTGGACCACCAATTTCGAGATCTCATTTCGAAGCCCCTGCTGATCAATGTGGCAGA